AACTTCTATAAGAAGATTGATGCTCTGCCGAAGGGTCCTGGTTGGGAATGTGAAATGTGGGAAGTCACAGGTGATGAGCTGGATGAGAAGGGAAATCGCCACAAAGAAATGGTTGAATTGTGGCGACGGAACCCTGTAGAATGCGTACAAGAGCTTATTGAGAATCCAGTCTTCAAGGATCACCTTCTGCCGTGACACTTTTGCTAATGTGCCCTACTTTTGCCCTGGAGTGTTTTGCAAATTCCCGAGCCGTTGGCAAGGCATGATTTGCAAAACCTGCCCAGAGCGGACAAAGCCCCGGAAAGCCTGTTCCCCGGCCTGGGGTGTTTCCTAATAGGGTATGTGGTCTTTTCTCGGCACTTTCTTATGTTTTTTTTGGCTCATATGTCGGAATTGTGGCCTCAAACTGTTTCTAGCACTATACACTGCTTTAAAACATATTAGTAAGCATAGTACACCGACCCAATATAGTAATTTGGGTGCTTAAAATATATTTTATCGTGCGGTTAGTACCATTTCAATCCCTCTCTCTATTCCTGTATATAAAATAATACATATATTTTATTATGTTCCTATTGGTCTGAAAATGGGTTTGGCAAAAGGGGAAGGCCAGGGGATAAGCAGAAATGCAGAAATTGTGCTCAGAATTCCGGCAGGAGCAGAAGCCTTTGCCTTATTTGGATGTGGGAAAGTAACTGTGGCTGAGACTCCTGCAGATGTATTGGCCACTTCTGGGACATTTCTGGGGGGATTCTGGTCGAACAAAAAATGTAGAAAGGTCAGTATTATGCATATAATGTCGTATACAAAGTCCCAGAAGCATAGGATAAGAATTGGGGGAACAGTATTCAAAATACCCCCACTACTGTCTGCACTAATGGGCAGTAATTGGGGCACCACTCCTGACTGGGTAAAGCAGTGGCTTAGGGGCTTGGTAAATGGGTTCATGTAGTGTATATTGACCTCTGTGCAAACCCCCAAGGTCATAGGTTCAGCCAATAGAGCATGGAACATTAAATACCCTGAGAGGACTGTAAAAAGAGAAAAAAGCGAAAAATAAATCCCCATACCTGCAATACTGAACATATGGACATGTTGGCAAAGCCATTAAGCCATATGTTCAGTATTGTAGGTATGGGGATTTATTTTTTGCTTTTTTCTCTTTTTACAGTCCTCTCAGGGTATTTAATGTTCCATGCTCTATTGGCTGAACCTATGACCTTGGGGGTTTGCACAGAGGTCAATATACACTACATGAACCCATTTACCAAGCCCCTAAGCCACTGCTTTACCCAGTCAGGAGTGGTGCCCCAATTACTGCCCATTAGTGCAGACAGTAGTGGGGGTATTTTGAATACTGTTCCCCCAATTCTTATCCTATGCTTCTGGGACTTTGTATACGACATTATATGCATAATACTGACCTTTCTACATTTTTTGTTCGACCAGAATCCCCCCAGAAATGTCCCAGAAGTGGCCAATACATCTGCAGGAGTCTCAGCCACAGTTACTTTCCCACATCCAAATAAGGCAAAGGCTTCTGCTCCTGCCGGAATTCTGAGCACAATTTCTGCATTTCTGCTTATCCCCTGGCCTTCCCCTTTTGCCAAACCCATTTTCAGACCAATAGGAACATAATAAAATATATGTATTATTTTATATACAGGAATAGAGAGAGGGATTGAAATGGTACTAACCGCACGATAAAATATATTTTAAGCGCCCAAATTACTATATTGGGTCGGTGTACTATGCTTACTAATATGTTTTAAAGCGGTGTATAGTGCTAGAAACAGTTTGAGGCAGTTGGAATATAGGTGTAGCACAGCTAGGTCCTAACTGAGTTTGAAAAACCTAAGCATAAACAAACAAAGGTATCCTCTTTGGGACTCAGCATCTACGACCAAGCGCCCAAAGTTCAACAGACCTATGGCTCGCTATTGCTTTATTGTTTGTCGCTGTTCACAACGTTGAGCCCCCACAGTCTCCATCGCATGGCACGCAGCTCAGATACACCAGCGCCAGCAGCGAAATGGCCCATTGGCCATCCTAAAGGAAGCAAGAATGGCCCATTGGCCATCCTAAAGGAAGCAAGAATGGCCCTAAAGCGGGAACCACAGGATGACCAGTAGGGAGGCCCAGGAAATATCCCTCTTTCTCTGGCAAAAGTAAGACCAGCCGGTCTAAAGGTATGTTCACAGCTGGTACTGTAAGCCAGGTATCTGTAAGGGCTAACCTTATCACGCAAACAAAGGAAGTTCACATGCAGGCTCATTGACCACTCAACGCAGCACTTCTGAGTCACGTTCTACCGGCGACATTCTCACCGATGACACCACTACGATGCGTAAGTAATGTTCCACAGTAAGCGGGACACATTATTTACATGATCTGCACTTCAACGCGTAGCAGCCGTAGTCGATGCCGCCATCCAAAGCACGTCGACAGCTAGTTCCTCTATTAGTGACGATGCGAATAGTGGTAAGTAAAAGTTTTTCCTCTTTCTTTCTGACATCCAGGCCCTGACAAGTGCTGGCATAGTTCTTCAACCAGAGGATGATGCCACGCCTCAGGTTTTACCCCAAGCCATGCCAGCTGCCACATCAAACAGTGCCGTAGAAGAGTGCACCCCAATAGCAGAGCATGCACTGACGATGGAAGAATATGCAGCGGTGACAGAAGAACATGCAGCGGTGACAGAAGAACACTCGCCGGCAGCTGAAGAACATGTCTCAATAGCAGAGGAATTTGCCGTAGCAGCAGATGACTCAATGCACTCAGATATTGACGGTCAGTCCTACTTATCATACAACATGCATATTCGCTAATATTATCTTCGAATTCACAGGAATTGTGAGTGGCGCTGCACTCGCTTTGCATCCTCGGGAGCTGAGCAGATGTGATGAGCATCGAGAGATGCAAATTGTCCATGATGAAGGCCAATCAGATGGTAAGTGGCTTCTCAGTCTCTGTGTAACTACGCCGTTGATAAGGCTTCTGTGTAGAGTTTACTCTTCGGCCAGCATCTCTATTCAGTTTCACTAAGAATGGAGATGATCTTGATGCGATTGTTAGTGGGTCGGTAGATGATGAAGATGATCTAGAGTTTACATCAACAGACTATGAGGAGAGTCGAAATGAGCCACCTGTGGAGGAATGTCAGAATGAGCCATCTATGGGCGTGCAGCAGGATTGCACAGCCTTCAATAGCTCATCCTCTCAATCCTCAGCCACTGCCAATAGGACTACAGACTCAGCAGCCACTGCCACCGAGTCTCGCGAGATCAAGAGGCAGTCTAGCATCCCGACATGGCTACATACCCACTATGCAGATACCTGCTCAACCCTTGATCACGAAATGGCAAATAACTCGGCGGGACTACCATGGTGCTATGAGAATGGCATGTTCACACTTAGCACACGATCCCCAATCTTCGATCTCATGACATATGCTCAGCTAATGCCGGAGATGTTCTACAAGCCGCAGTACTTCTTGTGGCTTCCACATTTGCTGACGCGTCGGATTCCCTGCCCGGCATGCCTTGATTCGGGATGGAAACATAAAAATGGAAATGTTCCTTCACTTGCCAATCACTCCTGGCCAAGAGTGGCTCAACGAGTTGTTGACATTGAGCATAATATGTGGATCATTAGTAGATGATACTACTGTGGTGAATGTGGAAAAACATTCCAGGCATGGTCAACAGCCATTCTCCAGGTCTTGCCACCTGCAGTTGCAATGCAATTTAACTTTGTTTTAACCTATCGACGCAGCATCACCAATCACATCCTGGGCCTTCTACGCTCCGCATTTCAGAACGGGATGGGTCCATCGCCATTTGCAGAGATGATACGAACTCTGCATATTTGACACTACGAGACAAAACATCTTCAGTATCTTGAAATGATTCGGTCATGAATGAATGTTCCGTTATTCAATATGCTCTCATTACATGATCCATTTGGTTCATGGGATGACCCGAATGGATATGCAGGCTACGTTCCATCTCATCATTACTTCTGCGGCATCTATGACAATATCATTGAGAAGCATAAGTGGGAATTTGAACAGCATATGTCACAGCTACCTGTGGACATAATGCACATTGACCATAGTCACAAAGTAAGCTCAATTTCAGCAAAGGTTCGAGTTCCTTCTGACACACATGCAGGTCTCAAATCACCTCAGAAAGGTGAACAGAGAGGCTGTCTTTGCAGCACTTTATTCAACCGTCAACGAGTGGGGCGAGTTATGCAGTATCCAATTTACGGCCACCAAGGCACACGATCAATACATGCCCGCACTTGTGCATATTCCCCATTCACTTTGCAAATATGGGCATGGCAATGTCCAATTGGTCTTCACTGATAATGTTCGTGCTGATAAGCTTGAACTTGAATGCGCAATTCCATCACTTCTCAAGGACATTGAGCCTGTTCCAAGCTCATCACTTGATCCTCTCACCATTCCTAATGACTGATCTGTCTTTATGTTATCAAGTAGCCAGCAAGTGAATAACATGCTCAATACGATCATGGATGATTTGCGACATCTTCTAGCTGATGCCTTATTGCATGTTGCAATGGATATGGAATGGCCCGTTGACCTTGCGAACGGAATTCAGGGCCAGGTTGCCCTGGTCTCAATGACATACCAGAAGTGTGTCTATCTTATACAAGTCTCTCGTTATCTCCGTGACAGCATTCTTCATCTTCCAAACACGTTACTTGTGCTTTTATGGAGTATCCGTATCCAGAAGATTGGTGTTCATATTCAGGCAGATCTTACTCATCTGTTTCGAGATTGTGGTTTCAAGAAAGATGGCAATATACCTTTCATTGGTGCTATCGAACTAGGTGCTATGGTGAAGAACTGAAATATTACACAGCGTGCAAATATGATTCTTTGAAGGTATCTTTCAAAAGACAATGCCATTTGTGTCAGCACATCATGGGATGATCCAACACTTACGGAGAATCAAGCACAATATGCGGCACTCGATGTATATGCTGCATGGCAGATTTACGAGGCTTTTACAATCATACCAGCGAATTCACCTGTCACGGAGAAAATGGCTGGTGGAACACCTATTCAATTGCTGACTCGGGACTGGACCGCAATCGCTGTATATGGCACTGTTGCACTTGATCATCCTAGTCAATTCCGCAATGTGAGGGTGACTTCGACTCGCATTCTGGTTAACATCACCAAGGTGCTGATTCCCGCATATATCGTGCATGCTGAGCTTCTTGAATCCCAAATGGAAACCTCGCTTGCTGCTTTGAGTTCAGCGGTTCCCTATCGACTTCTCTGCGCTGTGAAAGATCTTCAAATTGGAGGCCACATTTCTCTTGATTCAACAATACAAGCATCACGAATGGCTCCTCTTCCACCACAGCTGCTAGAGCCTTCACCAGATTCCAGCATCGAAGAGGAGCCAAATTCACCTTTGTGTGAAGATGACAGCATCAATTTCAATCCAGATGTATTTGTTGCTGCTGCGCCTGATGAATTTATATGTGACGAAGCAGCTGAACGACATGCAAGAGAGCTTACAGCTGTTCCTGCTCCAATCACCAACCCTGTCATATGCTCACATGTGCTGGGAGATATCTGGCATATGACTGACCAATTCAGAGTTTCCAAGAATCATGGAGTGCGGAGACCATTCAGCTATGCCCTACAAAATGCAGTGTTGCTCCCGGATGATGAGGATAAAGTAGCTGTGGAGGCCATGCTGTTGAAGAAAGGGTTATCTTGGGAGGAAGGCCTCCTTCTCAAGTCTGACTGGGTATGGCGGCAAGTACGACGATTTGCATCACCGCCTGAGATCATGTTTCCACATGTCTCACAGGTCTGTCAAACATATGGACCCCTGAAGGATGCTACAACAGGACAGCCACTGTTTAATGAACATGCCTGGGAGACAGCAAAGAATGTTCTCGAGAATATCCACCTTGGCTATTATTCCGATCCACCCACTATCTCACTCTATGTTGTACAAGGAAAGGACCGTGATGGCCTGACTCTCTATCGATGCACTCGCGGAACTAACTGCATTGAGGGCGGAGTTCACCAAAACATCATTCGGCAGTTCGGTGCTTTCAACGCATCACCATGTTTTGCTGACAACTTGGTGATTGACTATGCACTGTGTCATAATCTGAAGGTACGTTAGATCCTTGAATTTCCGCTGAGGAACATGAGGCTCACAATTCACTAGGTTGGAACATACAATTGCACTGGAGTCCCATATCAGGGTTCTTACGATATTTGGACTCGGAACAGGATTGCCGCTGTTCTCCAATAAATCACTACTTGGATGGGTAAATGGCTATGACTTTGAACAAACATCTGAAACTTTCGGTATCCTGGCACTCTCAAGTCCAGCAAGAGCAAAGCTTGGTATGCTTGAATATCACCCAGATCATGCAGCAACAGAGAAATTCGTCACAAGCATCTTGCCCGACTTCAAAGAACTCGTCTTCCAATTCTCCCGGTTCACATGCGTGAAGAATGAGCCATGTTCCATTGCCTGCTAAGAGAGCATGACATTTCCCCATTAGGGCGGTCAACACTGAACTGGATCATTTTTGCGAACAAATGGTCAGCCATCAGTGATGAAAAGGTTATTTTCTACAAGGTATTTACACTCACTTTGTAATCGAGAATGTGCCAGAACAACTCACCATTCCGTTATAACTTCCCGAGCACCTGAAGAACCACTACTCGGCTTGGAACAACTACTGCAATGAGGCAAATTCAGTGGAGATCAACTGTGCAGCCTACGACATCATTCAAAACTTGCTTCACATACCTCGGGGTATCGTTCCGCCAATTCCTACACACCTTCCAACTCGACTTGATCACCAAGTTCATCCCCATCATCCTATACAGCACCAGCACCAGCTGCTGACAACCTGGAATATGGGTATCACTATCAGTCAGCAAGCAACAGCACAGTCAGCTATTCACTTCCATTATGATGAACGTGCGCCGCCTGTGCAACTTGGCGCTCGATCTGCCAAACATCTGCATGAGGGTGACACAAGTCTAGTGCTTTCCATCAAATGGTGCAAGGACAGAAGCTGCATGGTATGCAAGAGTACGGAGTGCCCGGGAAGGTGGAAGAATGACAAATGTCCAATTTGGCAGGTGCATTCAGGTCTGTGATATTGTTAATAAACATTGCTTGATTGGTTCTTTTGATTAGAGCACTCAGGCCTCAACAAGTTCATCTTCAGGATTCGGGGACATACACTCCATGCTTGGCGAAGGGTTAATTCACCAGCCGTAGAATTTTAGAGTATAGATGGGCTGCAAGTTCATCAAACTCAATCACATTCTATTCATTGCATAATGTGTCACTCTTAATAGCTTGGAACTGCTACTGGTTGGCTACTAGTGTACCACAGAAGTAATCATTGTCCTCTTTTCTTTTTTCTGTCCGTAGTAGTGTTCATCTTCTCTCTCTTCCTTCTCTCCAAATTAATTAATTAATTTTTACGTGACCACTACACCTATATTCCAACTGCCCAGTTTGAGGCCACAATTCCGACATATGAGCCAAAAAAAACATAAGAAAGTGCTAAGAAAAGACCACATACCCTATTAGGAAATACCCCAGGCTGGGGAACAGGCTTTCCAGGGCCTTTCCCCGGCCCTTCCCTGGCCTTGCATGATTTGCAAATCATGCCTTGCCAACAGCTTGGGAATTTGCAAAACACTTCAGGGCAAAAGTAGGGTGTATTAGCAAAAGTGTCATGGCATAAGCTACAAGGATGTGATTAAGTATGCACCTGAACACCATTTCTGTGATGCCCTTGCACAGGAGCAAATGTTCAGTGAGATGTGGACAGGTGACTGGTGGTGGGGTCTACAGGTATGTTCAGCGATTCTGGTGCTTCAGTGAGAGTACCAAAAGAACCTACTACATAGGGTGAACTTCCGGAAGATGCTACAGTCACTCCTATTATTCTGGCATCAGATAAGATGCAGCTGTCATCATTCAGTGGAGATAAGTCAGCATGGCCAGTCTATTTGTTGATCAGAAACATTGGAAAAAGTACTTGCCGTAAACCATCCAAGCGTGCCACTATCCTTGTTGGCTATCTCCCAACATCAAAGCTGGAATGCTTCACGAAGCAGCACCATTCTGTCGAAGGCTACCAGTTGTTTCACAACTGCATGCGGTCCATTCTCAACCCACTCATTGAAGCAGGGCGAAGAGGTATTGAAATGGTCTGCGCAGATGGCTTTATTCGGCATGTCTTTCCAGTCATTGCTGCATATATTGCAGATCATCCTGAGCAGTGTCTTGTGGCATGTTGCCATGAAAACACATGCCCAAAATGTCTTGTTGATCTAAATCAGCGAGGTGAACCTCTGCATTCAATCTTCCATGATCAAAAGAAGACCACTGATGTGCTTAAAGACTACCTAACTATGCAGAAGATCAAAGAATTCGATCAGTGGGGTCTACAGCCAGTAGAATCATTCTGGGTCGACCTACCTCACTCTGATATATTCCATTGCATTACCCTGGATATTCTCCATCAACTTTACAAAGGTGTTTTTAAAGACTACATGGTGAAGTGGGCGACGGCATGTGTGGATGGTGAAGCTGATGAAGTTGATCACCATTTCAAAGCAATAACACACCACCAAGATATTCGCTGGTTCAAGAAAGGCATTTCGTTAGTCTCTCAGTGGACAGGAACTGAATACAAACAAATAGAGAAAGTATTCATAGGCGTCATCGTGGGCAGCACAGATGTCACAGTCCTCCATGTCATGCGTGCAACCCTTGACTTCATATATTATGCACATTTTGAGGTTCACACTGAACACTTGTTGCATGCTATGGAGGCTGCATTGGCTACGTTCCATAACCACAAGAATATATTTGTCCAGCTGGGCATTCGAGAACATTTCAATATTCTGAAAGGCCATTCAGCCAGCCATTATGCACATTCTATCCGGTCACTTGGAACAGCAGATGGTTATAGCATGGAAGGGCCAGAATGGCTCCATATAGACTATACAAAACTGGCTTATAGAGCGAGTAATCGAAAACAATACATACGACAAATGACGAAATGGTTAGAACAACAAGAAGCTGTCCACCATTTCACAGTGTACTTGGAGTGGGCCACCGGATATCAGACACCTGAGCAAGGATCTTCAGATGAGACTGAGGTGGCGATGGCTGAAGATGGTGACAGTGAAGATGCAGAGGTCAGAGAACCAGAGAAAATCAGCTTGGATGTGACTGGACCATTTGTTGATGCAATGGCAGCAGCTGAAGAAGAGGACTTGACTGCAGAGGAGATGGTGAAGGATGATGGTGGTCGAGATTATTTCATCGCAAAGGAGGCAGCTTACACCCAGATTGAGCTTGAGAAAGTAGAGAGAGTGTTTGGTGCTGTTGATTTTGCACACTGCCTCAAGGAGTTTATACACGATGCAGTATCCAAGTCAGCAGAACGTGGACTGCCTGCCATTGAAATTTCCAGCAACACGCAAGTCGACCTGTTCAAACAAGTCAAGGTTGTATTGCTGGAACTCTCTCAAGTCACTAAAGACACCATCTTTGATTCAATTCACGCAATACCTGGCACGCCAGCAGATGGAGCACAGGTTAGTGTTCTACTGCAATTCAGCACTATCCTGGTATGCAAGTGAATGCAAGATATTATTTCTAGAAATCTGCTCGATGGCGAGTACCTTCTTTTGTGACTGGTTAATAACAAGACTTACAATGTTTTCTTTTCTTGACATGTAGATTTGTGAGTCACATGAGTGCGTGCCATCTTCAATCTACCCAAACAGTATTCACAGTATTCGGATACACCACTCGCATTTGTAGAGTGGTTCACACCTTTCCAATGTTGCGATGAGACTATTGGAATGTACATAGTGTCCCATTCCACTCGATCCCACCTGCGCCGCACTTCTATTGTTCCAATCACTGCACTGGAGCATAGCTGCCACCTGCTACCTGTGTGGAGAAAGCAGATGGAATGCACTTGGACTCGGGAGAAAGTTCTTGATGAGTGTAAAAGCTTCTATGTAAATCCTTACCTCTGACACCATGATTTCATACTGTTTCGCATGCTCATAGATCAGTATTCCATAGTGAGATAGACACTGCATTTATTGATACTATCAATGACTACTGAGGTGTGACTGATATCTACCGTAGCTACTGAACACTACAGTATCTTCCAAGGTGAGCTACCACAGCTACAGCGCCTATGGACTGCCATCCTTCACTACCAAGGAGAGGGCTGTTTCCTGATGTTTGGGACAGTAAACATCACGCGATATATGGGCGGGACAGAGGGAGCAAGAATTATGACTGCCGATATAATATTCAAGCCAACAATGGCCCTGAACAGTCCGATCAGAAAAAGGATTACATGAAAGAAAGAAACGTACAGATAATACAATTGTCCTGTTTTTAGGAGGGCCCGCAATACGTTCCCCATTCCCTTGCCGCTAAAGAAAATTTTGAGACAGTCGATTCAAATATTGCCGAGGCTATGCATCAATAACTTGGCAGTAATGGCAAGGAATACTGCAGTGTCATTGACTGCCATGGCAACCAAGCCTGCTGATTCAAATTCTTTTATATCGCTATCTATGCAGTTCTTGGTTGTCCCTATATGGATCCCCTCAAGGCTGAATGGCGCGGTCATTGCACAGCCCAATGTAGACAACCAGAGAACTGCAAAAAGGGCAGTCATCACCTTGAAGCTATCGAAGATGGCCCTGATGTGAAGGAAGAAGAGGAGACAGTTCAATGGGACAGAAAATGTTGCACACCAGCCTATGGCCTTGATTAATAAGTGACAGTTACTGACAGGCATGACTAGAGAAGATGAATGATTAGCAAATCAAGAATCGCTGCAATGTACAGGATTGGATATTTACGTTGAAACATGAAGGCCATCAGTATGTATGTTCCGGACATGATCCTGAGCATGGAATCACTATTGCAGTATGTTACGAGATAAAGTAAGAGATACCGTACCTAGAAAGAAAGTACACCATGGTGGGAAAGCCAACCTTGTGCTGTTTGCACATTCGATACTCGTCAGGAATTGACACTAGAATGTCCCATATCCACACCTGTACAATTTCACTGTGAGTATAGGAGAGGGTAGAAATGTCAAGCATATACACTCTCAAAGTCCCACAATATAGATATTGCGAGAGGAAAAGCTGAAAGGCAGTATCAGGAGGAAGCCATGCGAGAGGGGTGAGTGGATTGGGCATCTTGGGTGAAACTTCATTAGCCATGTTGTACAGGGTTTATTGTGTCCTTCACAGGAGCAGGCTAATTTACAGACCACATTATATATGCCACAAATATGAGTAATTCAGCTAATTCATGTGCAGATGATACGATGGAGAATCTGAACAGGAGTGAAGGTATCAGTGATCAGTCTGCACCATTTAGGACAAGAACAGCAAATGAAGTTTACCGAGCTGTGCATACTACGTGATCTTGATAGATATCTCATACAACCACCTCAGCATACAGAAATTGCCTAGCTAAATCTTTTCTCATTGGACATGTGTATGCCTAATGACCTGAAAGCACGTCCCATCTTTGAAATCATTTTTGATGTTTCAATAGAAATCAGGGTCCATATGTGCTTTCCTGAAATCAAAACCATGAGGGAGAATGTACCTGTTCCTGCGGGAGTTGCTCCAACCTTGAAACTGGTGAAGTTTTATCCACTGAATGTCATCACGAATGCAAAAAAACCTGCTATCATCTGAAATCCAGCAGATTGTCGATTGCAGTCACTCAATTGACCAATGATCGATGTGCATTACCTATTACAAACTTACTCCAGAATGAGGATGCGCTGCAGTGTCCCAGGCTTAACGTGAACCAATACAAGTTGCTGTGATTGAGGAGGGGGGGTACCTGTTAATACTAGGATCCTGCACATGCAGGGCTTGCTGCTGCCCCATTGCCCTCTATTAGTTTTCTAATTGGCTACCATTCGGTTATCATGCCTCTTCTAATCATCATGATGGTCGAAGAATGCCCTGGCCGGATGATGTTTGAAGCTATTCATGGATCTGCATCAGGGCCAGACCCTATCCACATAGCAGGCACATGCAGAAACTGAACAATGAATCATGAACACGGTTAGTATCCAAGACTCTATCAGACATATATGATCACCTTTACAAAATGAACTGTTCAGTGCTTGCCATGACAAAGAAGATGATTGGCAGTATTAAGATTTCTGAATTTCTAGAACTGTGCTGGGTTTACAGGACTTCAAGCCAAGCCGTAGTGCTGAAAATCAACCTTGCCATACAAGGACTCGAGCCTGGGAGAGTCACCGAATTGTGAGGGCCAATAAAGAGAGAGCGGGAAATAAAATGCAGTGATCTGTTGCAATTACAACTGGGCAAAATGGAGGGCGAGCTTGGCTCCTCCGGATTCAAAGTTTACAAACTCCCTATTTGCTGAATTTGCAGCACCACACATCTTCAGAGGCTTTCTACTTTTCAGAACAATTGTCAATGACTGCGGATCCAGAAAAGCATACATTCCCAACTTACGGAGTATTTACTGTTTGCCATTTCTCTTCACAAGGCTGTACTAGTGGCCCAACCAAATAACCAAATTGCAAGGCCGTGACAGTATTCTATCGCAATATTTATCACAAGAAGTGATGATATGGAAGGGAAGTTAAGGACCCTGCAGGGAGAGAAGTGGAAGGTGAGAGAACATCTGAGAAATACTGTGAGAAATACTGAAGTGGGCAACTTGAGTAGTAACCAGCCCAAGTTTCTAACCTCCATTAATGATTCCTGCCAACTTCATTTCACTAGGTTCCAAGGACGAGTACATGCAACCATCATGATGCAAGCAATGTGGCAGGGCATTGCATCTATATTTTGCCAGGAGTATATATCTGAGATGCATCCTACATGTCAATGTAGGATACACTGTCAGTACTCGACCGTATCACTGCTGACATCACACTCACATTGCAGAGATTCTCAGTTGTTCATACATTCTCACTCAAGTTGTCATTTCACTCACCTGACTGACCATGGGCTCAGGATTCTCCAAGAGTTCACCATATGCCTCTCAACCATCTGGTTTTGCTACCCGGACCACCAGCGCGGACCATGCCCAGTGGAAGCATTATGATTATATCATAGTGGGAGGGGGTAGATAATTCTCGACACCGTATCTAATGCCTTTCTTGACCCTGCATGTTACAGGAACTGCTGGGTGTGTCCTAGCTTTGCGTCTTTCTGAGGATCGAGATATTACTGTACTGCTCATTGAGGCCAGTGCAAGGTCTGTTTGCAATTTCTGATTGTGCTATCCAAAGGAGACACTCATTTCTCGTGCAGTAAAGGTGATATATTCTCTAGGATGCCATCTTTTATGAAGAATTTTAAGACATCTGTTGACTGGGGGTACTATTGCTCATGAGTTGTATCATAAATTCATGATGATCCTGCAATTGATCACTTTATCAGAACTCCTCATGTGCGGCATGGCGAAGAGGTCTATCTGCTAAGAGGCAAAATGTTGGGAGGAACAAGGTACACTATCTTGTTACTGTCACCAGGATCATGCATGAATATACATCGTAGCTCCCTAAATGCTCTCATCTATGACTGTTGTTCACCAGAAGGTAATGCATCCATATATAACTATGTTATAGAATTCATTCACAGTACTGCCTAGATTATGATTCCTGGGTGAATGCCGGATGTTTGGGTTAGACTTTCAATGAACTGAAATCATCAGCCTAGTTCTTACGATCATCGGATGTTTTCCTGATTGATTTCATTCCTTCTTCAGATACTTTCGCAAGGCTGAAGGGTACAGTCAAACTGGGCTGCATTCGAAGATCAACTTGAGCAAAAAGGGTACAACTAGTCCATGGCAAATATGACAAAGTCCAAGCACCATGGTAAGCTGTGATAGTGCAGATCAGCTTATTGAGTCTTATTTTGAGTTGTGTTCAAGCCCATCACTGATCTTGTCACCAAAATGTGCATGAAAATTGGTATCCCTTACGTTGAGTCAGTGCTCTTCGACCAAATTAAGTATGCTGAGACTGACATCCTTCAGCTTTACAGAGATTTGAACTTGCCAGATAGGCTCAGTGTTGGTTATCTAGCGGGGATCATTGACAGTAAAGGGAGCAGTACATCAGCAACACCTTCCTGCTGTAGCACTATGCTAACACACAGTCTACAGGGTCCTCTACAGCAACAGCCTACCTTATGCCAGATATTCTGTATAGGCCTAATTTGATGATAGCAATCAACACGATTGTGGAACAAATTATTTTCTCTACTGGACAAGGAGCTCCATGGGCTGTAGGTGTGCAAGTTGTGTCATCTGCATTAGACCCAAAGTATCGAGTAGCGGTTATCAAAGAAGTGATTCTCTCTGCAGGCCCTCTCTCCTCCCCACATCTCTTGTTTGTCAGTGGTGTCAGCCCAAAGGAAGAGTTGAAGACCTCTGGCATGTCAGTGGTCAAGGACATTTCTGCCGTTGGCAAGAACTTGTCTGATGTATGTCTCCATTCTGTTCATATTCTGATTATTGATAAAGCCATTAACCTCGCTATCATCTTGCAGCATGCCACATCTGGCCCTTTAATTTTCTGTGCTAAATTGGGATTTACACTTGATTATTTGAACAGCTCCCCAATTGCTGCGATTCTGGCATTGTTAAAGTGGTTGTGGGATGGTTCAGGCC